ATGCCCGGGGGGACGTGAGTTCAGAGAAAGGACACACGCTCCCCACACGGTCATGCGCCGAGTGACGACGCTCGTGGAAGGACCATGTGCACCACGGTGGTCCCACAGACTCTAATTGCATGTTCCCTGCACCTTCCCGTGTCTGGACGTGGCTGATGCACGGGGCCCGCCCCATGTCGCAGTGGCCCGCAGTGACCAGCGCCGTCACCTGCCTCACAGGCGCGTGGCCCGGGAGCGACACACACCACACAGCCAGGCGTGCGGCGGCCACGCCATCTAGGCTCGCATGGGTGCCCCCGTGACGGTGCATAGGGAGACACCCCGCATCCCCGTCCCCCAGTGGCAGACTGCACAAGAACGTCCGTGCGTCCTGGCCCGAGTGCTCGAGTCCCCAGAGTTCACGCGCTGAGATCCTCACGCCCCAGGAGATGGTGTTAGGAGGTGGGGACACCAGGGCAGGGGTCGGTCCCCCGGCCCCCGGGCACCCGCCCCGCGCACAGCCGGCCCAGGACCTCCTCCCTGCTGCTGGCCCTCGCCCGGCTGTCCCGCCCACTGTGCCCCGGGGCCAGCTCGGCCGGCCCCGCCCCGGCTGCTCCTGCGGGAGGGACTGCTCGGCCCAGCACCACCGGCCTCCACGCCGCCCTCCCTGGGGTGCGGCCTTCTCCCACGCGCCGCGCTCAGGGACGGCTGCCTGTTCCCTCAGGGGCCTCGCGTGGCCTGGGCACCGCCAGCAGGGAGGGGCCGCCCACCCCAGGCCTCTGCTCCGTCCACTGCTGCGCCGCAGCCCTGTCCCGGGAGGGCGTGTCTTGGAGCATGGACAGGGCTGCGTTCTGCAATAGGGCTCTCCGGTCAGGTCAGTTTGAGTGGCGCAGGTTTAAACAGTCACCCAGGTCTCCCAGCTGCAGGACTTAGCAGAGCCTTTACTCTGCTAAGAGGACCACGGCCTTCTGACAGGGGCTAGAATAGTGTTGGCCCGTTCTCCCTTTTAGGGCGCAGGACACAGGGCAAAGGGAGCCAGACACCCAGCTGCAGACAGTGGGGCTTGGGCAATCACCCGGGCACGGAGAGGAAGGCCGTGGGGGCTCAGACTCCCGCCCTGAGTGCCCGGCAGTGCTTGGGCCTCCCCGGGCACCCTGCCATCCGGCCTGGACACTCGCCCAGAGCAGGGCCCCGGAACAGCCCCACACGGTGTGCCCGGCTCACCCCGCCGAGGCCCGGCCTACCTGGCCGCAGGTAGAGCGTCACTTGCTGCGGGGACAGCTGCTTCTGGCCCCCCTCTCGGTCCTCTGGGGCCTCGGCCAGGCTCCTGGGGTCCACGATGTCATTGGCCGGGCAGCCCCGCATGAGCAGCTGCTCCCGGGTGTCGCAGCGGATGGAGTCCGGGTCCCCTGGCCCCGTGAAGTTCTGTGGGAGGCGTGTTGGGGGTCAGGACGAGGGCAGAGAAATGTGGGGGCCACGCTGTGGGTGCTGCGGGAGGCTGGCTGACCCTTGGGGTCCCCGTCTTTCTCTGCACCCGGAACTGGGGACAGAGTCCCTGTAGGGCTGGGGGAGTCAGAAGCTGCCAGCTGTGAAGACCCCCAGCCTCCTGCAGCCCCTCCCTGCGGGCTCCCCGGCGGCACCCAGCCCACTGCCCCAGCAGCAGTGAGGACTTAGGGTGTCCACGTCATCTGGCAGCTGGCCGGGGCTTCGAGCCCCCCATCAGCAGAACCTTTGTCCCCAGGGACCAGGTGTCCCCTCTCAGCCAGTGTGGTCTTCCCAAGGCACTGGTACCCTGGCCAGGCTCTGGCCAAGCCCTCCCGGTTCACAGGGGAACGGAAGCAGCAGGGGAGGGGTCCTGGGTCCAGGGCACTTTGCTCTTGACACTTTGTCCCCCAAAGACCCCTGGGTTCAGCAAGTGTGAAGAGGTGCCTGGGCGTCCCTGCTGCCTGCACAAAGGGACACAGATTGGTGGCCCCAGCGGTTTCTCCCGTTGCGTTGGCCTTTGGAGCCGTGTCGACGTTTCGGGTATTCAAGAAATAAAAGCATGGGAGCAGGAACGTGGAGAGAAGCCTACAATGCAGCCCGCAGCCACAGAGGAGCGTGACTGTGGGGATTGCAGACGACGGACGTCAGCTGTGGCAGGGCGGGAGGAACCAGCCTACCGAGCGCTTGAACCCAGGGCTGGGCCCGGAGAAAATAGAGGGGACGGGGCTCTGGACTCCTCCCGCGGTCGTTGGGCGCGGGCTCTGCGTGCAGGATTGAGGAAAGGAGGAAACGTGGGGTGTCGGGAGCACCCCGAGAAGAGAGTGGGGACCTCCAAAATGTCTGATGCTGGGGCCGGGCAGCGAGGGCCTGCAGCACCTTGTGATTCCGGGCGTAGGAAAGGTCTCAGAGGGAAAGATAGGGACGCGTGGGCAGGACTCAGAGCCAGCTCAGCTCTGCCAAGAGGATGGGGCCTTCCGTGAGGGACAGAGCGTGTTCCCAACGCTGTGTTTCCCCTTTTTACTAAAGACGCAGCCCAGGGCGGAAGCAGCCCAGACACCCGACCTCACCCGTGGCCAGGCCTGGGGCAATTCGAGGGGCACAACGAAAAAGTGACAGTCACAGACCAAACGCTGCGGAACAAATAGAAACCTCGGGTCCCCTGAGCGGGAGGCGGTGGTGGTGGTGGTGGTGGAGATCCTTCCTCACGAGGGGAGCCCAGGGAAGGAGCTAAGGGACGAGGACGTCACCATCCTGCCGCCATTGCGGCGTGGCCGACTCAGGCAGGCATCCTGCGCGGATGTTTCGCCGGCGCCGTTCCTTCATGGGTAGCAGCGTGTACGCCAGCGCAGAGCGACCGGAGGGACGGTGGCTTCGGAGGCTGGCAGGGGGTCTCAGCGAGGGGCCAGGCCCAGGTCAGATGTTATTGGAACAACCAGCAAATTTGCATAAAGTGTGCAGATTTGATCATGAGAGACCAATGTGAAATTTCCCGGTTTTGATAAATGTGTTTATCACAGTACATTTCTGTGGTTTTGTCAGGGAATACCTTGCTCGTAAGGAAGACCCTGGAAGTACTGAGGGATGGAGGGGCTGTGTGTCTACAACCTACTCTCAGATGGTCGAGAAAAAATAATGTGTGTGACCCAAGTCTGCCTGGGGTCCTTGCGGGAGGGTGTGGTCGAGGCCTGGGGACCGCCCTGCAGGGGGGTGCTGCCTCAGGACACTGTGGGCTTAGGGCCCAGGAAGTTACCCTGAGCCCCTGTCTGAGGCTGTGGCCTTTCTGTCCGGGTGGCGTCGACCAGAACACGAACCGTAACTGAGGACAAGAGGAGCTGGAGCCCCAGAGGGGAAACGTCTCTGCGTTTTCTCCACACCCTGAAGCTGGACTGTCCCCTCCCTGGGCACTGGGTGCTGCTCAGAGCACAGCTGCGCCAGCTGCTGCCCCCTTCGGGAAGCCCCTCTCGTGGGGTGTCTGGCCTGGGCCCCTGCACACCCCCCTGCCTGGACCGCTGCCTTGGGGCACAGGCGGCCTCTGGGCCGGGGCTGGCCTGGGCGGCCGGGTCCATCTCTGCTGGTCTCAGACCAGCCTGGCAGCGTCTGGGCCACTGCCACCCCCAGGAGAAAAGGGGGCTGGGGGCCTCAGGGTGCCCCGGAGAGGGGAGGCAAGAAGGGCCCCGCCCCGGTGCTCACCGGCTTCTGGCACCAGGCGCAGCCGGGCCCCGACTCCACGCAGTCCCGGCAGGTGCTGACCTTGTACTTGGTGCACTCCTCGGCAAGGGCTGCGGACGAGTGGGTGAGGCGGGGGTGAGTGGGCACCGCCGCCCCGGGCCGCCCCTCGGGGTGGGCGGGGAGGAGGGTCTGGGAGGCCCAGGAAGGGGAAGGCGGCCTCCACAGGCTCCTGCGTCAGCCCCCAGGGCAGAGCCACCGCCCCAATGCCTGGGCCCTCTCCCAGCCACCCGGGAACTCCCGTCCAGGGGACACGAGGGTGGCCATGTTCTCCCCACGGGACGGCACGTGGAGTCGCCCGCAGACTCACCGGGCCCGAGGCAGAGCAGCCCCGCCAGGGCGAGCAGCGGGTGGCACCGGCCCGGCATGTCCTGTGGAGGGAGGGAGGGGTCTCAGGGACAGGCCTCAGGCCCGGCGTCTGGGCCGACCACCCCGGAGCCCCTCCCAGCTGGCCTGGGACTCGGAGCCGGTCCAGTCCCTGTGCCTCAGGGCCCAAGGCTCCATCGGGGCCAACACCTCGGCCACTGGGAGTCCCTGCCCTGGGCCCAGCCGCCAGCAGGGGGGGAGGCCCAGCTGCGTGGAGTGGGCGGCACATGCATGTACAGACGTGCATGCACATAAATGTATGTACACACCACAACACCACACACATGTGTATACATACCACACATACCACATGCACACAACACACGCACACACAGCACACATGTACACATACCACACACGTGCTACACATATGCACTCACCACACACTACACACCACATGCACACACAATACATAATACACACCACACACATGCACACACCACATCACACACATGCACACACACCACACCACACACATACACACCACACTGCACACATGTATACACATCACACATACACACCACATGCACACCCCACACAACACATACATATAGCACATACACAACATACCACATAGGCACACCACACACATATCACACACACCACATGCACACACACGGCACACACCACACACACACACCACACCACACACACCACACACATACACCACCTACAGGCACCACCAACACACGCCACACACACATACCACACATACACATAGACACACTACATGCACATCGTACACACACCGTACACATCGACAAACACCGTACACACACATACCACATAGACACACTACATGCACATCGTACACACATCGTACACATCGACACACACTGTACACACACATACCACATAGACACACTACATGCACATCACACACCACACACCACATACACACATATCACATACACACAAATTACACATGCACACACACCACACACAAACACACCACATACATGCACCACTCACACACCATATACACACGTAACACATACACACAGACCACATACCACACCCCATCATGCCACACAGCATACCGTGCACGCACACACTATATACCACATGCGCATGTGCACATGTACACATACCGCACACCCTTCCCACATACACACCACACTCTGCACACCACACGCACACGCACACACAGTGTGGTCTGGACACGCACTCACTGGGCTGACAGGACACGTGGGCTGATGTGGACCAGCCCAGGCAGGACAAGGCAGGTCCGTGGAGAGGCCCCGGGACCCTCCCTCACGCACAGCTGTGCCAGGACCCCACCCGCCAGCCTGGGCAGCCCCGTGAGCCCCCAGCCTCCTCCTGGCCTTGCCCCGCCCCCAGCCCCACGTCCCCAGGCCCAGCCAGCGTCCCCTCCCGTGCGGGCCACACCCTGCTGCAGGTGCCCCAGTGCCCGTGGAGCTCTGCCCGGCAGTGCAGGCTCCTCCCTCGCTGGGCCTCGGTTCCGCGGGACCCTGGCGTGGACAGTCCCAGACCCCTTCCTGCCGGACTCCCCTGGGTGGGGACGTGGACGGGCCGAGGGCCGGAGTCACAGGAGCCGCTTCCCGTGGGCAGGGCAGCGGCTGCTGCTGGGGAAGAGCCGAGGACAGAGTGCTCCGCCTGCAGGGCTGGGGACGCGGACCCTGTGCACTCACCCAGCGCCTGGGGCTCAGCAGGGGTCCTGGAGGGCTGGGGCTCCACCGCTTCCCACGGGGCTCTGGGCCACGGCTGGGAGACACGGGCGGAGACGTGGTCCTGAGGCTGGGCTTCCTGTTGTCACCAGCTCCTCCTCGGAGGAAGTGGGGTGGCAGGTGGCGGGTTGCGCCACTTGGGGCCCTTCGCCCCAGCCCCTCTCCGCGCCCACTCGCTCCCCACGAGGCGGGGCGTCAGAGAACGGCCACCGGAGACGGGGGACCTGCCAGTCGTTACTCGCGTGCATGGCCAGAAGCACAGCAGCATGGGCCGGGGCACCTCTTGGGGACATGAGCCAGTGGCGGCACCGAGGGACCCCTACACTGGGGAGGGGTGGGTGCCCCCGGGAGGGCCCGGCTGCAGGGGAGGGGCGCCCACTGAAGGGAGGGGGCGCAGAGGCGTCCCGGCGAGGCCGACGCGGGAGGAAACAGTCCCACGCCTGCTGAGGGCAGAGCGGAAACCGGAGAGCGAATCCCTGGGCAGGAGGACGGAGCCGAGGACTCGGCTCGGAGAGAGACACGGACGCGGCAGGAAACCCGGTGCGACGGCGGCACCTGCACGCGGGAGCGCCAGGGAGTGCACACGCGGACAGCCAGGGCCACACGCTCCGACACGGGAGAAACGGCCCAGGTCTGAGGGGAGGACCCCGGCGGAGAGGCCACCCCACGCCTGGGGACAGGCAGACACGGTCCCCTCGCTGGGTCCATCGTGACGTGTCAACCTGAGAAGAAACTCAGAGAGGCAGAGAGGCTCTCCGAAGAGAAGAGTTTAGTTGGGAGTGAACAGGGGATTTGCAAATCTGGGGTGCACACGCCATGGTGAGCCATGGGGCCATAGGGATGCTCAGGGAAACAAAGGAAATTTGCAGAGGTTTTAAAAGGCAAATGAGGAGGATTACATAAATTATTTGAAAATAATAATCCTTGGCTACAAGGATCGATAATGTGGGCGGCATCAGCCCAAGGCTGAGCAGGTAGGTGGGAGACTGCCAGAGGTGGCCTTTGTGCAAGCTTGTGGTTCTTTGTGCAAAGCTGCGGTTTGCTGGAATTTCTTGCAATAGTTCCTGTTGTCAGGAACTGTGGTAAGGCCCCCACCTGGCATCCTGGTTCCGGTTAGTTTTGTTTTGACACAGGTGACTCCGTTATGGTATGGACCACTTTGACATTTCTCTCTTCTGATCAAGAACTTTCTCCGGAAGCATTGCTGATCAGTCATCCTGTGGTGAGGTTTTGATTGTCCCTTGGTGCTGGGATGGACCCGTCCCAGCTGGTCCGATCCCATGTTGGAGGGAAGTGATTGGCAATTAGGAGTCAGTGTCAAAACCCTGTTTGCCACAATTGTGCAAGGAGATTTGTGGGGAGTGGCTCTCAGGCAGTGCTTGCCTGAATTTGTTGTCAAGTTTGCTGGGGCTAGAGTGCCGTGGCGTCAGCCTAGCTCACAGCAACCACAAACTCCTGGGCTCAAGCAATCCTCAGCCTCCGCCTCCAGAGTGGCTGGGACTACAGGCATGCGCCACCATGCCCAGATAATTTTTCTATTTTTAGTAGAGACAGGGTCTTGATCTTGCTCAGGCCGGTCTTGAACTCCTGAGCTCAAGTGATCCTCCCGCCTTGGCCTCCCAGAGTGCTTGGATTGCAGGTGTGAGCCACTGCGCCTGGCCTGGAGTTGTATTTCTGTAGAAATTTGGTAGGCAGCAGGTACAAGGTTTAAAATTTGTATAAAGCAAAATTAATGGTAAGATGATGAACCTGGTTTGCAAAATGGTTCTAAACTGTGAAGGCTGAAGGTATTCAGGTAATCAAACAGAACGAAAGAAAACCCTGGGGAAATGGATGAGACACTGGGGGGACTAGAAGAATTCGGAATCTAGTCCAGTTGCAGGTAGAGGATAAGAACTGAAGCACAGTGACGCCAGCGCTGGGGAGCGGCTGCAAATGCAGATCGTCATTAGCAGAGAGGTTTGACTGCGCGATAAATGTGATGCTCTTGATTCATCCCTAAACCACTCTCCCCACCGGCCAGTTTTTGCAAAAACTGTCTTCCCCGAAACCAGTGCCTGCTGCCAAAAAGTCTGGGGACCGCTGCTTTAGAGAAAAGACAGTCTGGTCTAGGGTCCGGTCCCCGTTTACTCATTGCATTTAATTGTCTTATCTGTGTAGTCTCTTTAATCTGGAACATCTTGGCGTGTCTGAGTCTTTCACGATCTTGACGTCTATTCTGCAGAACGCAAACCCTCAGTTTGGGTTTGTCTGATGTTCCTCGCGCTTGGATCAGTTACATGTTTTGCGGGAACATGGTTGTGGTGATGCTGTTTCCTTCTTAGCGTGTGATGTCAAGACACAAGCGATCCGACTCACAGCACATGAAAAGTTTAATTCATCAGGAGACAGCGATTTTGAACTCTTGTGCACTTGATAACGTCGTCTTCATCTACTCGAGCCACGGTGACACAATTATGAGAAGATTTTGAGAAATTTGCCATTACTCTTGTGGAGTTGTTAATTTTTGATCAAGCAGATGATGATTTAGTAGGGACTTAAAAATTTTGAACAGTATAATTTAAAAACTTGGTTTAAGAGAAAGTTATGTTCATTTTAAACAAACATTTAACTCTGGCAAAAGTTGATCTTCTGAGGTGTAAAACAGTTCTTAACACACCTTGTGGATCTGTGTCGGCACCCTCTTGGCCTTCTGTGACCAAAATGCAGCAGAAGTAAAATCGACGGCATGAAAAGAACTAAAAGGGCAATACACGTGCACGTTTCTTATTAACTTATTTGCTTTTTCTCTTGGTGAATGTGAGAATAACGTGCAGATGTACATGCGTACTCTGAACTCGTCATCGCAAGCTAAATCATGATGGGAATTAGAAAACACTTAGAACTAAATAATGAAGATACTCAATGTAGAACCTGTGGACCCTACAAGAACATTTACAGAATCAAATGCCTGTATTAGAGAAGAAGAAAGTCTACACCTTGATAGACCAGGCCCCCGACTTGGGAATTTAGAAAAGTACAATCGAACGAACCCAATGACAGTGGGAGGAGAAAATAAAGATAAGGGCAGAAATTAGTGGAATTAAAGCAAAGGTACAATTTTGAGCATCACCCAAGTCCCAGTCTGGTTCTTTGCAAGAGAGAGAGATGGTGTCCCGGAGGAGGGTGGCCTTGGTCTCTGCGACAACACTCTAGAAGGGTAAGGACGGGAGGAGGCCTTCCGCCACAGGGAGGCCACTGGTGACATCCAGGGGCTGGGGCTCCTTAGGAAGTGGGGGCATGTGGTGGGTGCCCTCGGGGTGGAGGCCCACGGGTGGGAGAAGCTAGGATGCGGCTGGCAGGAGGCTGGGTCAAATCCAGTGTTTTCTTTTTCGATGACAAACGATATTCTTAAAATTAAATTAACACAGTGAAAACAAACAGTGAAACCCTCCTGTTCGCCTTGTTGATTTGTCATCCTGCCAAAGCATGAAGGTGCAATTCCTCTGATATCTCCTGGCCTGTCCCTGCAAATGAAACTGGGGCCCCTGAAGGGTCCCCAGATGGCCCCAGAGGGTCACCCAGCTGTCACCCCCTGGATCCACCACTCCCTTCACCCCAAAGCCAAGAGTCCCCTGAGCTGCTGCCAGCCAGTGGCTGAGCTCGGTGGGCACACTGGCGCAGGGCTGGCGCTGAGGCATGGGGCGGGCCCCCTGGGGGTGGATGCTGGGTCTGAGGCCCCTCCCCCCTCCCGGTCCCGCCCCCTCCGCCTCCTCTCACAGGCGCCAGACCCGCCCCCAGCGCTGAGCCCCTCCTGCTCACCCCCTGTCCTCTGCACGTTTCCCCAGCAAGCCTCCTGTGCTCTTCGCCTTGGCACCTGCTTTTGGGAAGGTGTGAACAGACGCACCTGAGGTTGCTCTCACAGTCCCCTCCCTGCCCACCCACGCCCCGCCTTCTGGAAAGAGCATGTTCATGTCGCCCACAGCCCTGTGACCCCCACCCCCCCACCCCGCAGGTGCCTGAGGAAATCCACTGTTTCCCAAAGCGCCTTTCTAGTCTCCGCAGCCCCTGAGTATTCAGTCTCCCGGGAGGACCTGAGTCTTACCCACGAGCAACGCCACCACCCCCGGATCCTGGAAATAACCGCATGGCCTTCGAGGCCATTAACGCATGGACGTTCCTGGTGAGGACTTAGGGACCTCGCAGTCCTTTGAGAGGCAGGTTAAACACTGCCTTGTGTGAAGGCAAACGGCCCGAAGTCGTGGGGGTGCCAGGAAGGGCCAAGTGAATCTGGGGAGCCAGGTCTTGGAGCAGAAGAGCCCTGGAGCCCCGTACTCAGAGCCTGGCCGTCCAGCAGGTGCGCAAGCTTCCGGGCAACCCAGGCTCCCACCCAGCGCCCCGGTGGGCCCGGGACTCTGCTTCCTGTGCAAGTTCCCGGGTTCCACGATGCTGCTGGTCTCGGGACCAAGCCTTGAGTGAGAAGTTCCCGGATCATTTGATTTTTAAGAAGCAAATCGTTTTTGGATAAAATTCTTATGCAAAAGCCCACTACATAGAATAGATAAAAGGCACAGCCGCTTTCTTTGCGAAGAGGAGAGAGAGCTTGGATGGAACCCGGGGGAAGCTGGCTTAAGGGGTGGGCCGAGGGGAGGGAAGGCAGGAGAAGGTACGACCAGTGTGGCCACAGCCCCAGAGAGGGCGTGTGGGCTAAGACCCACGAGGATCTCAGGACTGCGGGCGGCTTTGGCATGTTGAGCGGGGGTGGGGACGGAAGCTGAGCTGACATAGAGTACATATTGGTATATATTGGTTGGAATAAAGAAAAATAAGGATGGAAATAAGAAAAAAATGAAATGTCAGGATTTTTGCTTGTTTTAAAAGTTTTTATTTAGAAAACATACATACAAAAGAGTACTTAGAAGGTATATGACAATAAGTATAACAAATCAAACACCCATGTGCCTATCAATCAGCTTAAGAAATAGAATAATTCTACTATTTCAGAAGCTGTTCCTCTTTCCCCATATCCCAGAAGTAACCACTATCCTGAATTATGTATTAAGCAT